ATCGATAAAATGAGAACGACACATCCGAGTAGATAAAAATGGCTGCAGCGCTAATTTCCGATTCTTTTTATAATACAGCATTAAAATATTTAGTGGATAGTTTTGGAAACAAAACCAATCAAATCTCAACAGTAAGACAGTAAGACAGTAAGATACACACACACACACACACATACACACACACACATACACACACACATATATATATATATATATTGTTTTTTAATTTATCATTTTTAAGCAGCGGATTTTATTGATAAACCTACGCGTTTCTTTTTTCAATGTATTTAATCGAGGGAGATCGAAAGGAAGGGGAGATAACTAATCAAGGAAAACATTCTCCTCTACTTGTACAAAAAAGTACAATGTTTTGATAAAGTCTCAATTATTCACTCGTCAAACATCTGTGGAATGCATTTAACTTCCAAGTTAATTTTGATCTTTATTTTTTTCTTCCTTTCCTTCATAAAAGTTCAGAATGTGGAATTAATAAACACTAAATACTTCAAATACCTCGGTGTAAGGATCAGTTACAACAATGGTAACGGCTAGAATAGCCGTTTCCTTATAAGAAAACATTCAACATTTACTGACTGAACCATTATTGTTATAAAAGTTATAAAATACTCCTCTTAAAACAGTTTTCAGGAAAATAGGTTTCTCAAGTCCAGTAGCTGTTATCAATCTTTCCAGTACTGATAGCGGTTTCCTTCCTAACATTTAGAATATCAACATATTGATTTTTTTTAAGCTTTTCACCCCAAGCAAGACGGGAAGTCACTAGCACGCAAGGGGTTACAAGGGGTTACAGAGAATTGTAGCGAGAGCAAAGAGGAGTAATAGAGGAAAGGATGAAGAGAAGGTTAGGGGATAGATCGGGGCATCTAGAGACGTCGATTGACATTACATTTGAATAGTTGGAGATTATAGCTATCGGGGAAACAGGAAAAGGGGAGGGAGTTCCACAGGTGAGAAGTGCGAGCCATGAATCTATTGGAGTAGAAGAGACGGTTACATTTAACAGTTTCAACAGTGAAAGGGTGAGAGCGAGATGCCAGCCTAGTTGAATGCTTAAATTCATGAAGTCTGGGAACCAGCGAAAGCAGCTCATCGGAGCAGTTACCGTGAGAGTATTTGTAAAAAAGACATAGGGAGGCGACGGCACGTCTGTGAGAGAGCGGCTGCAAAAGAGATGCCAGATCAGGGCCAATTACATTGCATATCCGTCTCTGGATTTTATCAAGAACATTATTTGCATTTCGAGTTATATCCGCTATCCATTTTAGTTGTTGCTGCTTTTGGAAGTTTTTCAAGTGACGTTGTTATTTGGTAAAGTTCTCATAAATAGATATGAAAGTGTACTGAAAGTGTCTTGGCCTGACCAAGAAGCCATTTAACAAAAATTGATATTTTTTAATTTGGTCAAATTTTAATAGTGTGTCGGCTCGCTAACTTTTCATCACATACTCATAGATAGATAGATAGATAGATAGATAGCAGGCACGTGCCGTCAGTAGTTACCCAGCTTTGATCTTTATGTAGTAAATCTAAAAAAATATTTTGCATTTTATGCATAATAATCAAAATAAACTTCATAAATCTGTTGAATTAGGTGCAAATTGTGTCACGGAATGGAAAATGTAGCAGCTGATCTATTTTATTCAGGGTAGGTACTGTTTACCTTGCCTACCTAGACGGCGCGTCCCTGATAGATAGATAGATAGATAGATAGATAGAGAGATAGATAGATAGATAGATAGATAGATAGCAGGCACGTGCCGTCAGTAATTACTCAGGGTAAGCAGCTTGTTATTTTTATGTAGTAAATCTACAAAAAATAAAATATTTTGCATTTCATTATCTGTCTCTCTTTCTGAGATGAAGTATTTGTACTATTTTACATTATTCGGACTGTTGTCCTCAAGGACACATGACACAGTGGATAAAGGCGTTGGTTAGATCCCATGACAGGACCCCAAAAGTGTGAGTTCAATACCTGGTTAAGGCGGTGGAGAACTTGGAGAGGGCAATTAGCAGGAGATAACTGATAACTGACATCCATTAGACATGGCACGTGGAACGAAACAGTCTACCCAATGTGAGCAAAATAAAGGGTTCAGTTCGACATTCCAAACCACCTGAAGAAGGCCAGAGTGTACAATTTAGACGAAACGTTGTAATAAATATAGGGATAAAGATGAGGACAATAGTCCGAATAATGTAAATAGTTTGCATTTTATGCATAATAATTAGTGAAACCTTCGTAATTCTGTTGAATTGAGTGCATATTGTGCTACAGAAGGAAAATTTAGCAGCTGATATATTTTATTCAGGGTAGGTACTGTTTACCTTGCCTACCTAAACGGTACCTTCCTGATAGATAGATAGATAGATAGATGGTGTTGGAAACTGAGACCGGAGATAGATAGATATTTTTAGATAGATATGCCTAACAAGAGAGCAACTCTAAAAGGCTCTACAAGACAATCATCAACTATTCTGGCTGGCACGATCACTAGAAATCTCTCCGTTGTGCATTTGTAGGACATGATGGCACAACACCTGGCTCGTTCAGTTAACCCACCTAACATTCATGCCGGATTGCGTCAAAAGCCACAAGAAACATAAAATAAATTATCGCAGGGATGTTAATGCATGCAGGAGTTCAGGTCTTTCTTAATGACCAAGGACTCATTACTGATAATACACGCCATATTTTGCAACCTTATCCCTAAAGAGGTTACAAACAGACAAATCATGGTATTTCACTGGAAGTCAGAAAAACAAGTAAATGAAAGAAAGAGAGGTTTATTGTAAAAGAGAATACATTACTGAAAGACAGGGAATCGATTCAGGCGAGTAATTCTGAAGCAAGGATATCTACCAACCGCCCCACGCTGTCAGATTTGGCACAAGATAAAATTTAATATGATTTATCCGATCTTCAATAGGCTCAGAAAAAAAAATTTTGGAATAAAAAACGGGGTCGGAATGCTTTTTTCTCGAGATGAGTAAACTCTGCCCCTTCAAATAAGCCTCGTCTGGGGAACCTCTCTACCTTCCATCAGAATGAGTTGCTAACCTCCAGCTGGATGAGTCGTTGAATTCCCAACTCTTGATTAATTCCTGAAGCAAGGATATTTAACTATACCTCGCCGCGAGGCAGGATGTGACACAAGGCCGTTTTTTAATCGGGGCAAAACCAATTTTTTAGGCTCGGATAAAACATCACCCCCAGGCCCTTTTATTCGTTTATCTTTAGAATATTCTGTGACACCGCAGACGAGACTCTGCCATTCGGCATGGACTCGTCTGGGTAAAAATCCATAGAATAATCCATAAGAGTTCAATCAGCACAGCTGGAGACGAATCTCAATGTGTTTAATTGCCTTAAGTTATTTATTTATTTCACCTCCCCGCGAGGCAGGGAATTGTTTACAAGTCCGTTTTTAATGCGGGGTTAAAACCGAGCAGAATGGGCTTGGAAAAAAAGTTCTCCAGAACCTCTAGTTGAATTAGTGTAAAAAACTTTAAATTCCATTTGTCTACCACCCCAGACGAGATTGAAAGGATTTATGATATAATAAATAAGCAGACAATGTTTGTATTTTATTCAATCATATATATATATATATATATATATATAATATATATATATATATATATAATTATTTATTTAAAAATTATAACATAAATTCCTCTTATAAAATCACTACAAAAAAATTTTCTTTTTGTTTCAACAGTAAACCTTGTCTTATCATGATGATGTTGTGGTGTGATAGATTGAAAAAAGTTGAGATATATATTCTATATATATATATATATATATATATATATATATATAACATGCAGAAAACCTGAAGAAACCACCATGGTCTCCTACGTCACGTGAAGCCTCGCAAGAAATCTGAACAGAATTTACAAATCTGGCCAGGCACTGAAGAGAAAGACAAGGTTTGCCGCATCTCCAGTAATTATTGGAAATCACTTTAAAAAAGAAAAGAGCCATTGTTGTTCTTATGAAATGCAAAAACATGTATGAAACTTGTCAGCGATGGTCATAATCAGTTAACGAGTCGACAGCCATTATGCGTGTATATATGCATAACACTTATTTTATGACTTGGCGTTCACACGTCTTTAAATCAATCTTTAAAAAATGGCAGTGTGTGTGTGTGTCACCGAGCAGAAATAATGCATTTAGGATTTGAGGAAATCATCACAAATCTACCAAACTCGTCACGAAGGCCTTTGTAGTTTTACGATTCTTACTGTGATTATCTGTTAGCCAATCGCAGGCTTTGTGTGATTTTTTCATTGGCGTATTAATAAAATATTTTCGACAATAAAGATGATCATTGCAAACAGTAAATAACGAAAGGAAAGTTTTGACTTTGGAGAAAAAAAAAGCATAACAATAATACTAAGAATAAGAAATAATTGTGATAGAGATGAACAGACTTAATAGAGAGAGAGAGAGAGAGAGAGAGAGAGAGAGAGGAGAGAGAGAAATAAAGAGAGAAGCTAATCATTCGAGAGAAATGGTTGATCCGATAGATAAATAGATAGATAAAGAGAGAGTAGAGATGAACAGAGATGAATAGATAGAGAAAGAGAGAAATAAGAAATAATTGAGATAGGGATGAACAGACTTAGATAGATAGATAGATAGATAGATAGATAGTAGATGAGAGATGATCGGATTTTAGATAGAAGAAACAGATGAACAGCCTTAGATAGATCGATGTTAGATAGATGGATAGAAAGATAGAATAGATTTATCAATAGAATTGAATAGACTTAGAATGTAGATAGATAGATGAGAGAGAGAGAGAAGAATTAACTGAGACAGAGAAAACAGAGATAGAGATGTAACAGTCTTTATATATATATATATATATATATATATAGTGAGAGAGAGAGAGACACAAAGAAAGAAAATGTAAATAATCGAGAGAGAGAAAATAGACTTAAATAGATATATAAGAGATGAACAGATTTTAGATAGATAGATAGATAGATAGATATGAACATAGATAAATATTAAATAGATAGATAATAGATATGAATAGAGATAATAGATAGATAGATAGATAGCTCATATAGATAGATAGATAGATAGATAGATAGATAGATGAACAGATGGAAATAGATAGATAGATAGATAGATAGATGAAATTCAGTTTCTGGGACAGATGAAATAGATAGATAGATAGATAGATAGATAGATAGATAGATAGATATGAACAGACTGAAATAGATAGATAGATAGATAGATAGATAGATAGACAGATATGAACAGACTGAAAGGTTTGGGCCTGACTAAAAGCCCATTCAAAAATGATATTTGGTCATTTGGTCAGATTTAAAGAAGTCACTTGGCTTGCTAACTTTTCATAAGATCCTTATAGTTAGATGGACAGATAAATAGCTAGATAATGTTCAGGCATGAGATAGATAGATAGATAGATAGATAGATAGATAGATAAGGGTAAAATATAGATATTGTTATGGTTTCCTCCCTCTAAAGAGTCTATATTGGACTCTTCCGCCTACTATAAGATTAGTAGGAGAAAAGGCCTTTGAGGAAGCAGTCGAATAGATCTGTTCGGCTCTGCTGGTCAAACTCTGTGCCTCCGATCAGAAAAGGATTAATAGACGAATATATGTCGAAGACAAGTTTTCTCGTCTCTTTAATCTAACCGACCCTGTTAGATAGACCGGGTTTATGGATAATATTTTGATAGATAGATAGTGCTGGATTGTCCTACATAAAAGTCGGCCTTGTTCCACATCCTACTATAAGAATAGTAGGCTGGTAAATATAACAGTCGAATAGATTGAACGCTGGTCACCCGACACACACTCACTAGTCGTGTAATACTCTTCTGTTGTACTTACTGTTTAATATATGATATATCTGCAACCCTTGTTTTGTTATTTCTTTAACCATTTACTTGGTCACAACATCTTGGCGACGAAGGATACGAAGAAACAGACTTCACGTTAAATCATAAATTTTTTTTTGCCAGTGTCTACAACAGTGGTGAGGAAAAGAATTCTAATCAAACTCTACGACAAAAGGGTATCCAGTGTTAATTACAAAACTGACAGTAAGAAAAGAAACTACAAGTTCAATTCAGTGGTTGATAAGAAGGTTGGTGAACCATTGTTATTTTTTCCATTCCAACAAGTCAGTAAAAATTTACCACCTCTCCCGCTTTAAAATTTTTCAGTAACAGAATCGTACAAGTCAAACAGACTTATTGTTGGTTAAGAGGGTAAAGAGAAAAAAATTTCCCATCTCATTTCTTAATTTTACGCAGTAAAATGGACGAATTTAAAAGTGCAATGCTAGTGTTGATGAAACACCAACAGGAACAACAACTACTGTTGAAACAGAAATATCAAGAAAGACAAGAGGAATTCCAACGAGATCAAGAAGAATACCAAAAGAAATTTAAAGAATTGCGCCTAGAAATTCAGGTTAGACAACAGAAACTGGAAGAAATCCTCCTTCAAACAGAGAATGAGCAAAGGCACTTGTATATTATATCCATCAAAAGCCAAAATGAGGACAGCTAAAAAACGTTCTCTTAAAATGCGGTATAGAATGCTATTGAAAACTTCACGTTTGCATCTGAAGAAGAAATTACATCCGCTTCGTACTTTAAACGTTACGAGGACTTATACAATACGGATTGTGCAAGTTATGCTGACCATAATAAGGTTCGCCTACTCTTCAGGAAATTAGACACAGCAGAATATAATAAGTTTGTTAACTATATTTTGCTTAAGAAAACCAGCGACTTGAAATTTAAGGAGGCGGTTCATTCATTAACAGAACTCTTCAGTCCAAAAACATCACTGTTCCACAAGCGTTGGAAATGCACGAATCTCACCCGCAAAGAAGTCGAAGATTATACTACTTTCGCGAGTGTAGTAAATAAACACTGCGATGACTTCAAATTAGCAGAGTTAAGTGCCAATGATTTTAAATGCCTGATTTTCGTCCAGGGTTTGATTTCAGCTAAAGACGCCGAAATACGTCGTAGGGTACTCAACAAGCTTGAAAACGAGCCCGACGTTACTTTACAGCAAGTTGTCAAAGGATCGCCAACATTTCGTGAGCGTCGGAGAGGATTCGAAAAAAACATTGAACAGAGTGGCGTGGCTCGCATTAAAAAAAATACGCCAAAGAAAAATTAAAAAGGGTCAACCAAAAAATGTTTCGAGTATAGTCAATTACATTGTATAGATATTGCCCTTTTAAAGATAATTTTTTTAATTGCTATAAATTGGGACACAAAAGTTCCCACTGCAGGATTATGAACAAGACAAAAAAAGTTTTGTAAAAAATTACCAAGTCTGATGAACCAGAAAGTCGTAACATCAGGAAATATATTGAAGTGCAAATGTTTAACAAAAATATAAGGCTACAGCTTGATTCGGGTTATCAATAATTAATTATCAAACATGGAAAACATTGGGTAAGCCGATTTTATTAAGAACGAACCGAATAGCTAAAAGTGTAACTGGCGACCCTATTAAGCTTATGGGCGAACTTATAACGAACGTGTCATTCAAAGATAAAACTTTAAAACTAAAGGCGTGTATTATGAAGAATACGGGTAATTTGTTCGGGACTGATTGATTAAAGCCTAGTTTTTAAGAAAAAAGCGTAACGTTCCATTTGCCTCGTTAAATCAAATTGACGAGGAGATGAATCGACTTGAGGAAATGGGAGTTCTGGCAAAGGTTGAATATAGTGAATGGGCATCTCCCACAGTTTATATTAAAAAAAAGAGCAAAGAAATTCGTGTATGTGCTGACTTCTCCACGGGGCTGAATAATGCCCTAAAGGATCACCATTATCTCCTTCCAAGTCCAGAGGAGATATTCGCTAAGCTCAGTGGAGGAAAATTTTTTTCTAATATTGTCTTAAGCGATGCATATCTAGAAATATTTGTATTGGAAGAATGCTCGAAGCTCCTTTGCATAAATACCCACAAGGGTTTATATAAACTTTTTAGACTTCCGTTCGGGGTTAAGGCCGCCCCTTCCATTTTCCAACAGGTCATGGACATGATGTTAAATGGTCTGGATTTTGCGGTGGCCTATCTCGATGACGTCTTAATGAAAAGCGAAAGCATTGAGGAACACAAATCGCACGTCTGGCAGGTTTTCAGGAGAATCCAGGATTACGGATTCCAATTAAAAGACGGGAAGTGTGAGTGTGAATTTAAGGATTTTTGTCAGTCATTCCTGATCGAATATATTATCACCCAAGAAGTAATGAACAGGTAGAGCGTTTTCTGTACACTTTCTAGAGAGTACTGAGGAAGGCGAGGGGTACACCTAGCGATACGGCTATACAGCAGTTTTTGCAGGTCTATCGTGTAACCTCTAATAGAAGTGCTCCATCTGTCAAGACGCCAGCGGAGGTCATGTTTACCAGGAAAATAAAATCGGCATTTGACAAATTCCCCCGAGTGAAACGAAAGAGGCAAAATGGAATAAAGTATTTAAAAAGCGCTTTAAGATCGGTGAAAAGGTTTATTTTTTTCGTGTATTTGGGAATAATAAAGCTCACCGGGAGATAGGAACAATAGACAGACAAATTGGTAACATGATTTACATGATTCAGGGCCGAAGGTTATACACAAACATCATATAAACCAAATTAGAAAACGGTATGAAAGCGTAGTCGACAAGGATACCATAGAAGATGACACTATGGACGTCGTCTTTGACACGTTTGAGGTTCCAATACTGCAATCAGTGCCAGAACTCAGAAGGCTCAAAAGAAAAAGGAAATTTACGGAACCTTTAGAAATTAACCCGAAAAGAAAAAGATGATGGACATCTTTAATTTCATACCATGTCTACAGAAAAAGAAAAAGAATGAGCAAAAAAACACATCTCCTCACTTATGAACTTTGAATTACAAGAAAAGCACAATACGCATTGGATTATTGGAAATTATTAACATTATAATTTACCATTAAACTTATCCAATTTTTCATTTTTTAGAAATAATGAATAGAGACCTTAATAAAAAGGGATTGTTTTTAACACGTGAAATATTTGTCGTAAAACTAAAGAAAAAAAACTGTGAACGTAATTCCTGTATATAGCTTTTTTAAAGTGGTTGTTTCTGATATTTTTTGTGAAAGAGGTTTTCTTTGGTTGAATAAAAAGTATTGTGTGGTAATTATAAAGAAAAGACTCCATACGGAGTCAGGCTGAAAAGAGTCTGTACAGAGTCTATGCTGGACTCTTCCGCCTACTATAAGATTAGTAGGAGAGAAGGCCTTGGAGGAATAGTCGAATAGATTGAACGCTGGGTCAACCGACATCCACTCACTGGTCGTGTAATACTCTTCTGTTGTACTTACTGTTTAATATATGATATATCTGCAACAGTTGTTTTGTTATTTCTTTAACCATTTACTTGGGTCACAAAAGGTAGATAGATAGGTAATGATCAGACTGAAATAGATAATGGTAAAACATAGATAATGATCAAATTGAGATAGATAATGATGAAACAGATAAGGATAAATCCTAGATAGATAGATAGATAGATAGATAAGGATAAAACATAGATAGATACGAAAGTGTACTGAAAAGTTCTCGACCTGACCAAGAAGCCTTTTCAAAGAAGAATCCTAGTGTTTGGTCATTGATTTAGATACTGGGAAGAGGATCGATTCGATATTTTTATCACATCCACACATAAATAGGTAAAATTCAGTCCTCCTAACCGAGATTGGATCAAAGTTAAAATAATGGGTACCCAATGGGAGGGGGGTCAACCTTAGTAAGAAATGTTTGTGAAATGATCATCATCCTCCAGTAACTCTCTCTCTTTCACACACACAAACACACACGCACACACACAACAATTATACATATATTTTTGTGTTATTGTCTATGTGTGTGTTTGTGGCCATATATGTACATAGTGATATATTCTTTACAGGTATACAATGTGTTGTTATTATATAGAGACGAATCTTTCGTAAGTAGAACAACGGTGTGCATGCGCGAACTTTGACATATACATTGACCAATGAATGCAGTGGAATATTGCTGTTATATCCTTGCATTCCAGCCTTGACAAGAGTTCAAAATCGGTTACGTGGTCTTGCGCGAGGAAGTCTTATTGCTATAAAGGTATAACGTGTCGCTGCCGACACTTGAGTTTGAACATAGATCGCCAGTGAGCAAACACAGGCGATCCCATTATCGAATAAAGTGGATCAAGTGACCATGGGAGAAACGCATAAGTAGAAAGTAGGGTGACGTCTAAACGATCGCCATTTCTATTCTATCCTCTATTACTATTCGGATCATCATTTCTAGTCTATCCTCTATTACTATTCGGATCACCATTTCTACTCAATCACTATACGGGCCTCTATTCTCTTCTCTACACTAGTCTATATTAGGATGAATACGGTGGTTAGTTTTTGAGCGAGTATTATCGAGCAAGGACTATTAGTGCGAGTGATATTTGAAGGCATCTGACACTAGTATTGTTCAATAGCATTATTATAGTTGTATCAGCGATTACAAAGTCTCTACTACAACGAGCATTACGAAAGTGACAACGAGTGTTCGTTGACATCACAAAACTTATTTTTCCGAAAGCATATCGTTACTCTAACGCTATTTCCATGGCAAATGTTCAGATTAGCTCTATTTTATAGTTCCACCAGACCGTTACATCTAGGATGCACTAAGCCACTCCCAAAGAGTCGAATCACCCTCATTTCCTCTGTATTCTGATGTGGATGTTTCCCTGAAGCTTAACTTCTCCAAAGTCAAGGGCCAGTTGTTATGTATCCTCCTTATCCTCATAATCTTCACTTCCCACCACCTCCTCTTTCATTCATATCACGCACTCAGTTACCCTTTACTTTGAGTGGCTTTCGAGCCTCTACCTTGAATCGGTTACTTAAAATCGGTTATGCAGTCTTGTGGGGAATTATTTATTTTCTCTTCTGCAATCTCTTACTCACAGGTACCGTGTTGCAAGCTTGTCGCTACTCACTATTTCCATGGCAAATGTTCTGATGAGCTCCATTCCTAAGTTCCAGGGTTTCAGGAGTTTAATCTTCTCGCTACCCTATCACTATTTCGATGGTAAATGCTCGAAATTCCGATCACTGTGCTAGCAGAAGGTGTAAGTATTTCTGAATTTAGAATTTTTGTGGGCAATCAATTGTTTGTACGATTGAAAAATCTATCTATCTATCTATCTATCTATCTATCTATCTATCTATCTCTCTCTCTCTCTCTCTCTCTCTATATATATATATATATATTGTTGTAACATTTTTTAGTCTGAAGAAATGGGCGTCTGATACCGTGAAATAAATTATCACCTATGGGTATCTAACGACTCCGCTTTCATTATATATATATATATGTTTTGGAAGTGCTATCTGATGATCCGGCGTCCTTTAAAAGGGCTCTGGTGAAATAAATTATTATAATGGTAACTTAAAGTGGTCTATTTTTTCTTTTTTTAAATATTAGCTCTGGATTTACATTGAGCTCTCAGGATTTCATCACTCTTGGGATTACCAAGTTCTTCATAACTTATATATATATATATATATATATATATATATATATATATATATATATAATTAAATTCAAGCAATTAGACGGTAGAATACGGTTTCGGAGATATAACAAAATGTCAAAATTTATTGAGATAGATAGATAGATAGATAGATAGATAGATAGATAGATAAAGGAATCATTTGAATCATTCATACATAGCAAATACCGAATTCATTTCACTAACTAAATTTAAAAAATGCATTAACCCGCTAACTCCTGGGTGGATGTTATGTTCCTTGTTTTTTAAAAATTATAAAATGGACGAGGTCTTCCTTAAATATGCAAGTCCTTTCAACATGTTCTCCAGTGACTTAAATTTTCCAAAATTCAACCTTAGCATTTCGACTGCACACTCCACAATTTTTGTTATCAATAACACACTTCAAAAAAACATATTTCGATTTGCATTATATTATTTCGTCTCGGATACTAACCAAAACGAATATAGTTTCCATGCCTAATGATGACCGAAGAACCAGTCGAAAGTACCTGCATATTTAAGGAAGACCTAATACAGTTTATATTTTAAAAAAATAACAATGATCATTACACTCATCGAATGGTTAGCGGGTTAATACATTTTTAAAATTTAGTTAGCGAAGTGAATTCGGCATTTGCCATGTATGAATGATGCAAATGATTCATTGTAATATATAAATATCTATCTATCTAGCTATATATATATATATATATATATATATATATATATATATATATATATATATGATTTCAGGAAAACAGGTGAGACATTGCTCTACTTGTTGAACTATTTAATTTTGACTGATAAACTCCTACAAAAAAATTCTTAAATTGCTATATTAGTAAAAAAACAACAAAAAACGCTCTCACTTAAATTTTAAAAAATTCCACATTAGCGTTGCGACTACGCGCCCCACAAGTTTTTATCTGTTATCAATAATACACTTTAAAAAAACATATTTTGATTTGCATTATATTTTTTCGTCTTGGATACTAACTGACTTTTACCGAAAAGAAAATAGTTTCCATGCCTGATGATGACTGGAGAACATATATATATATATATATATATATATATATATTATAAATTAATTGATTTAAAATATGGTTTTTTCGCTACACAGTTCTAACCATGTTTCAAAAATGGAAGCTAAAAGCCACGAATTTAATTTTGCAATTAAATTAAAGAATTAAATTCAAGCGAATATGAGAAAACTTGTAGCAACAGAAATATGGTTTTACAGAAGAATCCTGAGGACACCATGCGCCGAACAGAGAAGTGGAAACAAACTTTAGAGAAAATGGAAACAAAAAGGACACTAATATTCAACATCAGGAAGAAACAGTTGGAATTTCTAGAGCACATAATGAGGAAAGAAGACTCGAAAAATTTGATGCACACAGGACAGACTGAAGGCAAGAGAGGCAAAGGAAAGCAATGCAGAACATATCGAGCGAATTTGAGCAATTAGACGGTAGAATAGGGTTTCGGAGAGATAACAAAATGTCAAAATTTAATGAGAGCTGAAAAGGATAGGACATTGTGGAGAGCCATCATCGCATAGATCATGAAGGTACATGGCACATAGAAGACGATCATAAACACACATTTATATACAGACTATGTGGGGCACCTCAAGGCGGTGTAATGGTTAGGACATTGTGGAGAGCCATCATCGCATTGATGCTGAAGGTACACGGCCCATAAAAGATGATTACAAACACAACATTTATATATAGACTATGTAGGGCACCTTGAGGCTGTGTAATGGTTAACAAGCTTGTCACGCTTGAACAATTACGGCTGAGTCATGAGTTTGATCCACACTAGGTACCCCATATTTTCGGCCTTGTGCCACATTTAAGCTACGCTTGCAAAATCACTATTATGTAATGTTTAGCAACCTTGTCTCGCTAGAACAATTACGAATGAGTAGTGAGTTCGATCCTCACTGTGTGCCCCATTCTTTCGGCCTTGTGCCACATCTAAGCTACGCTTGGACAATCACTATTGTGCTCCCCGAGGTAGTGTAATGGTTAGTAACCCTGTCTCGCTAGAACAAATACCAATGAGTAGTGAGTTCAATCCTCATTGGGTACCCCATACTTTGGCCTTGTGCCGTATCTATGTCGGAAAATCACTATATACAGACTATGTCGGTGATTTATAGCGCGTCTCTTTTACCAGTTGTCTTGGAGAAGCAAAGGGAAGATTGTTTGTTATGGAACTCAGTATTTTGAAACCTTTTCTAAATGAGAACTTCGTATCAATGCCGGCCGCTGGGGGCAAAGCATTACCGTTTTCACCCCTGACAGAACTCTGTAATCAAGTCAATATTGTAGCGTTATTTTTCGCTGAACTGTCAGATTTATGGTCAGGCGTGTTGTTATGAACAACAATATTTTCCTCTCGGTCATATTTTCTAGTGTCTCCTGACCACCGAATTCAGGCAAACCTTTCCTCGTCCCGGTGGTGATGCAATTATGCCGCCGCTTTTGATGTGGTCTCGTATCGTAGATTCTGGGGTTAAATCCCTTAACTCAATTTGCAAGAATCCAATATTGATGAATCTGTCTCCTTGCGGCAGCCTTTATTTCACGATTTCAATCGAGACGCCATGTACGGAACGAACGGGATGCACAACCACAAAATTACTACGCTTCGGATATTTCTTCGGCAGAGAAATTACTACGCTTGGTTGCTTTCGATTGGATGCCGAGAATTCCTTATAAATGAGTAAATATATTACCTAGATACTTTAAAACCCCAAGTTATTAATATAAATGTTATTTATATCATATATCTATGTCTATGTTTATTCCTTTTTCTTTCTTTTTTCCTCTTCCTCTTCTTTTTGTCTGGACAAATTAATTTCATTTCTAAAAAAAACCTCGGCCTGAAGAGAAGAATATTTATATATATTTTTGAAATAAATTATAACCAATATGGATTTTTATGAATTGCCTTTACTTATTATATATATATATATATATATATATATATATATATATATATATATATATATTACTTAAAAATGGGTTTGTAAAATGACTATTACGGCTAATAATGCATGACTATTCGGTAAATCGAATCGAGTTCTCTCAGTCACTGTGTGTTTATCTACAAATAAATAGGCTTAAATTCACCTTCGTCCCTGCCGTGTGCCACCGGCCGGCTTAGAGGTAAAATCTTCGACTGACGGCTATTCGGCCGGATTTCTATCCTAGCAAGAGGCAATTGGACGTCTAACCACACTGATGGGACGCGAAACTGTCTGTCTGTGTTTGGATGGCTATATATATATATATATATATATATATATATACGCATTCATTGAATACGTCAGACAAGGTCCTTTGATTTATTTTTATACAATTTCTCATGTGTTCTAATATTTTTTTCTTTTCAGATGATAAATTAAATAAAAACTATGCGAATAAAAATACACACAACACACACACACACACACACACACACATATATATATATATATATATATATATATATATATATATATATTACAATGAATCATTAATACAAAAAGTAAATTAGTAAGGTTAATGATATAAAATGGCGAAATCATTTCGTTAACTAAATTTTAAATATGCATTAACCCACTAATCACTCGATGAATGTTATGATCCTTGTTTTTTAAAAATTATAAACTGTATTAGGTCTTCCTTAAATATGCAAGTACTTTCGACGAGTCCTCCGGTCATCATCAAGCATGGAAACTATTTTCTTTTTGGCAACCTTCGAGTATCCTCCGAGACGAAGAAATATAATGCAAGTCGAAATAAGTTTGTACCTGTTATCAATAACACATTTAAAAAAAAATTACCCGCGTGAGTTCGAATCTCATCCTCGTCGCCAAGATGTTGTGACCAAGTAATTGCTTAAGCAATAACCAAACAAAAGGTTGCTGATAAATAATGTATTGAACAGTAAATACAACAGAAGTGTATTACACGACTTGGGAGTGTGTTCGGTTGACCAGCGTTCGGTGTATATCAGTTTTCCTACTAACTTTATAGTAAGTGGAAGAGTCCACAATAGACTCATTAGAGCGAGCATACCACAACAAAGGTGAATAAAATGAAGGGGCCCTGGCCAAAAGGTAATTAAAAAAAGAGCTCTTAAATCTTGGGATATAAATATCCCCGAGCTAGTATCTTGAACAAATGCTCCTTGGTCGTTAAACGCAAAAGTTGTTGGTTTTCTTATACATAGAAATACCTACAAACAAAATTGATACCAGATCTGTGGTTGCCCTGGTCAACAGGGGCCGCTTCCGTCATAGGTAAACCAATCTTGGGTCGAAATGTTAGTTAATGGTTTAAATCTCCCTGAAAAGAGGCTTGAGGCTGCTCATGATGGGATAAATGTTAATCATGAACATCCTCAGCAAATTGTGAAAGACCTAAGAGAGAACTGTACACAAGTGAAGATCTTCTATGTTCCGTGTCCGTGGTCTATCATGGCTCTCCACAATTTCCTTTCCTTTGTATCTTTTCGTAAATCGTCTTATTTTTGGTATCTATCCAGTTCTGCCAACCATTGCCAAGCTTATTAGGTAGGATTATGCGCTGCTTTCCTTTGTCTTCTCTCTTGCCTTCGATATATCCTGTGAGTGTCAAAATTTCCAGGCCTTCTTTCCTCACCATGAGCCCTAGAAATTTCAACTGTCTCTTTCTGATCTTACGTTCAAGTGTCATTCTTGTTCCAATTTTCTCTAAAGCTTTGTTGTTGCTCACATGTTCAGTCGATGGTATTCTCAGCATCCTTCTGTAGATCCACATTTCTGTTGTCTCAAGTCTCTTCTTCATCTGTGATGAAATTGTTCAACATTCTCTGTCATACAGGAGCGCTGGTATTACATAATTCAGTAGTATTTCCTTAGTTTCTAACTAATTTATTTTTTGTTTCTTAATATTTTGCTTAGCTATTGAAAGACATCTTTAGGGATCCCAACGCTATTCTCTGACTCTCTAAGAGCTAGATCAGGCCGAAACTGGAGTACTGTTGCCATATTTGGACGAGAGTCCTCAGTCTTCACTTTCCAGTCAAAAACGTCTGCGATTCCTTGTTGGATTAGAATTCTTTTTCAGCCTCCCACCTCTCACTCACAGGCGGGATGAGGCGAGTCTCTCACTGTTCTACCGCTACTTCTATG